AGCTCGAAACAGGAAGTGGGCGTGGTCACATGTTAAGGACCACGCCCTAATATCCCACCCAACTTTGGTTGAAAATGGATAAAATCTGGATGAAATATAATCTGTATAATACAGGTAGTCCTTTTGTGGATTTCACTGGTCCTTCGGTGGATTTGGTGGTCCTTGAGTGGATTCATGTTTTAGTGGATTTTTTCAAATTAAATATATTTCCGTGAAATTTTTATATGTATTTTCTGATGTGATTTGCAACATTTTATATTCTAAGAAATTTTTGAGAAAACGTTTTTAAGTATGAAAAAAAGCCATTTTTTAGGTATCTCAGTGGGAAAAACTCGAAACCGGAAGTGGGCGTGGTCAAATGTTAAGGGCCACGCCCTAATTACCCTGCTAAAGTTTCGCGGAATTTCATTGACGTTGAAATATTCTTCGGACTTTTTGATCAAGGTCTCTACAAGAGATCACACCTGAGATTGAAGTTGGGTAAAATTTTAGCAATAATTCAGATGGTCCCTTTGTGGATTTTACTGGTCTATTAGTGGATTTAGTGGTCTTTTAGTGGATTTGATGGTCCTTCAGTGGAATTTTTTCAAAATATTAAGAATTCAATATATTTTTGTTAATTTTTTTTTATGTGTTTTGTGATGTTATTTTAAACATTTTGTATTCTAAGAAATTTTTCTGAAAACGGTTTTAACTATGAAAATATGCGATTTTTTACATATCTCAGTGTGTATAACACGAAACCGGAAGTGGGCGTTGTCAAATGTTAGGACCACGCCCTAATTATTCCACCCAACTTTGGTTGGAAATGGATAAAATCTTGATGAGATATAATCTGTATAATTCAGGTTGTCCTTTTGTGCATTTGACTGGTCCTTTGGTGGATTTGCTGGTCCTTTAGTGGATTTTTCTGGTCCTTTAGTGGATATGTATTTAGACACATATATCAGTCTTAAAAACTCGAAACCGGAAGTGGAAGTGGTCACGTGTTTAGGACCACGCCCTAGGTACCCCGCCCGAGTTTGATAGTATTTCGAGTTTTTTAGACTGAGATATGTGTTTAAATACATATCCACTAAAGGACCAGGAAAATCCACTAAAGGACGAGCAAATCCACTTAAGGACCAGGAAAATCCACAAAAGGACTAGCAGGATTATAAACATTATATTTCATCAAGATTTCATCCATTTTCAACCAAACTTCGGTGGGATAATTAGGGCGTATCCCTTAACATGTGACCATGCCCACTTCCGGTTTGGAGTTTTTCCCTCTGATATATGTGAAAAACCGTATATTTTCATAGTTAAAAAATGTTTTAAAAAGCTCGAAACAGGAAGTGGGCGTGGTCACATGTTAAGGACCACGCCCTAATCATCCCACCCAACTTTGGTTGAAAATGGATAAAATCTGGATGAAATATAATCTGTATAATACAGGTAGTCCTTTTGTGGATTTCACTGGTCCTTCGGTGGATTTGGTGGTCCTTGAGTGGATTCATGTTTTAGTGGATTTTTTCAAATTAAATATATTTCCGTGAAATTTTTATATGTATTTTCTGATGTGATTTGCAACATTTTATATTCTAAGAAATTTTTGAGAAAACGTTTTTAAGTATGAAAAAAAGCCATTTTTTAGGTATCTCAGTGGGAAAAACTCGAAACCGGAAGTGGGCGTGGTCAAATGTTAAGGGCCACGCCCTAATTACCCTGCTAAAGTTTCGCGGAATTTCATTGACGTTGAAATATTCTTCGGACTTTTTGATCAAGGTATCTACAAGAGATCACACCTGAGATTGAAGTTGGGTAAAATTTTAGCAATAATTCAGATGGTCCCTTTGTGGATTTTACTGGTCTATTAGTGGATTTAGTGGTCTTTTAGTGGATTTGATGGTCCTTCAGTGGAATTTTTTCAAAATATTAAGAATTCAATATATTTTTGTTAATTTTTTTTTATGTGTTTTGTGATGTTATTTTAAACATTTTGTATTCTAAGAAATTTTTCTGAAAACGGTTTTAACTATGAAAATATGCGATTTTTTACATATCTCAGTGTGTATAACACGAAACCGGAAGTGGGCGTTGTCAAATGTTAGGACCACGCCCTAATTATTCCACCCAACTTTGGTTGGAAATGGATAAAATCTTGATGAGATATAATCTGTATAATTCAGGTTGTCCTTTTGTGCATTTGACTGGTCCTTTGGTGGATTTGCTGGTCCTTTAGTGGATTTTTCTGGTCCTTTAGTGGATATGTATTTAGACACATATATCAGTCTTAAAAACTCGAAACCGGAAGTGGAAGTGGTCACGTGTTTAGGACCACGCCCTAGGTACCCCGCCCGAGTTTGATAGTATTTCGAGTTTTTTAGACTGAGATATGTGTTTAAATACATATCCACTAAAGGACCAGGAAAATCCACTAAAGGACGAGCAAATCCACTTAAGGACCAGGAAAATCCACAAAAGGACTAGCAGGATTATAAACATATATTTCATCAAGATTTCATCCATTTTCAACCAAACTTCGGTGGGATAATTAGGGCGTATCCCTTAACATGTGACCATGCCCACTTCCGGTTTGGAGTTTTTCCCTCTGATATATGTGAAAAACCGTATATTTTCATAGTTAAAAAATGTTTTAAAAAGCTCGAAACAGGAAGTGGGCGTGGTCACATGTTAAGGACCACGCCCTAATTATCCCACCCAACTTTGGTTAGAAATGGATGAAATCTGGATGAAATATATTCTATTTAATACAGGTTGTCCTTTGGTGCATTTGACTCGTCCTTTTGTGGATTTGGTGGTCCTTCTGCGGATTCTGGTCTCCTAGTGGATTTTTTAAAATTAAATATGTTTCTGTGAAATTTTTTAAAAAATATGCATTGTACAGCTATGTATGGGCTATCAAAAGATTGGTCTCACAGAGAGGAATCCAACTAGAGATATTAGGGAAAATGTCTCCAAAAAAGGTCATTTTGAGATAATTAAATAACACTCAGAATTTCAATTGTTAAAAGAGAAATATGCTATGTACAGCTATGTAAAAGCTATCAAAAGATTCCTCTCACCAAGATGAATCTAATGATACCACTTTCATTGCAAGGGAGTGAATACAACTGGAGATATTAGTGGAAATGTGTATACTATAACTAATTATCCAAACCACTCAAATTCAAAATTTTTAAAAACGAAATATGCATTGTACAGCTATGTATGAGGTATCAAAAGATTCATCTCACTTAGACAAATCTAATGATAGCACTGTCATTGCAGGTGCATGTATAGAACTAGAGATACTAGGGAAAATGTCTCCAAAATAGGTCATTTTGAGATAATTAAATAACACTCAGAATTTCAATTGTTAAAAGAGAAATATGCTATGTACAGCTATGTAAAAGCTATCAAAAGATTCCTCTCACCAAGATGAATCTAATGATACCACTTTCATTGCAAGGGAGTGAATACAACTGGAGATATTAGTGGAAATGTGTATACTATAACTAATTATCCAAACCACTCAAATTCAAAATTTTTAAAAACGAAATATGCATTGTACAGCTATGTATGAGGTATCAAAAGATTCATCTCACTTAGACAAATCTAATGATAGCACTGTCATTGCAGGTGCATGTATAGAACTAGAGATATTAGGGAAAATGTCTCCAAAAAAGGTCATTTTGAGATAATTAAATAACACTCAGAATTTCAATTGTTAAAAGAGAAATATGCTATGTACAGCTATGTAAAAGCTATCAAAAGATTCCTCTCACCAAGATGAATCTAATGATACCACTTTCATTGCAAGGGAGTGAATACAACTGGAGATATTAGTGGAAATGTGTATACTATAACTAATTATCCAAACCACTCAAATTCAAAATTTTTAAAAACGAAATATGCATTGTACAGCTATGTATGAGGTATCAAAAGATTCATCTCACTTAGACAAATCTAATGATAGCACTGTCATTGCAGGTGCATGTATAGAACTAGAGATACTAGGGAAAATGTCTCCAAAATAGGTCATTTTGAGATAATTAAATAACACTCAGAATTTCAATTGTTAAAAGAGAAATATGCTATGTACAGCTATGTAAAAGCTATCAAAGATTCCTCTCACCAAGATGAATCTAATGATACCACTTTCATTGCAAGGGAGTGAATACAACTGGAGATATTAGTGGAAATGTGTATACTATAACTAATTATCCAAACCACTCAAATTCAAAATTTTTAAAAACGAAATATGCATTGTACAGCTATGTATGAGGTATCAAAAGATTCATCTCACTTAGACAAATCTAATGATAGCACTGTCATTGCAGGTGCATGTATAGAACTAGAGATATTAGGGAAAATGTCTCCAAAATAGGTCATTTTGAGATAATTAAATAACACTCAGAATTTCAATTGTTAAAAGAGAAATATGCTATGTACAGCTATGTAAAAGCTATCAAAAGATTCCTCTCACCAAGATCAATCTAATGATACCACTTTCATTGCAAGGGAGTGAATACAACTGGAGATATTAGTGGAAATGTGTATACTATAACTAATTATCCAATACCACTCAAATTCAAAATTTTTAAAAACGAAATATGCATTGTACAGCTATGTATGAGGTATCAAAAGATTCATCTCACTTAGACAAATCTAATGATAGCACTGTCATTGCAGGTGCATGTATAGAACTAGAGATATTAAAGAAAATGTTTCCAAAATAGGTCATTTTGAGATAATTAAATAACACTCAGAATTTCAATTGTTAAAAGAGAAATATGCTATGTAAAGCTTTGTAAGAGCTATCAAAAGATTCCTCTCACCAAGACGAATCTAACGATATGAATTTCATTGCATGGGAGTGTCTAGAACTTGAGTTATTGGTCAAAATGTCCAAAATTTTCATTTTTAATATTAAGGATTTTTGTTTTTCTAAGTGGAAAATGTCATGCTGGTGTATGCAATATTTAGACAATAGTGAAAGTTCGTTTCGAGGAAGAAGGTTGCATTGTATTGTTCTCAAGAAATTGTCGCAAATTTGTCGTTTTAATTGCTTGTGTGGGCCTTAAAGTCATTCATATCGAAGGATAGACCTCTTAAGGTGTGTATGATAATGTTTTTATTTAAATTTAACGTGCAATTTGTTTAATATTTGCAATATTGTTGGCGAAATTGTGAAAGTGAAATATTACAAAATAGTTGTCAATCAAATCATCACCCACTGATCTCATTAACAAGCCTGGACCTCCTTCCCTGGTCCTTGAGTGGATTTCTTATTTAATGGGGCGTTTACGTCGGACAGTGATATCTCAGAGCGCTTAGTAAGGATTTCAACCAAACTTAGGTGGGGGATGTAGGGCGTGGTCCCCCCACGGGTTACGCCCACGTCCAGTTAGAAGCTAATTAAGTATTTTTTTTTATTTTTTTAAAACTTTGGAAGGGTGTATCTCAGGGGGGATTTTACCAACTCCACCCATATTCCGGGGGGGGGGATGTGGGCGTGGTCATCGATTTTTTGCCACGCCCACTTCCGGTCGGTGGTCCTTCAGTGGATTTAGTCTGGTCCGTTTGTGGATTTTTGTGGTCTTTTAGTGGATTTTAGTGGGCCTTTAGTGGATTATGTATTTAACAACATATATAAGTATAAAAGACTTGAAACTGGAAGTGGGTGTGGTCACTTGTTTAGGACTGCACCCTAATCACCCCACCTAACTTTGATTGAAAACGGATAAAATCTTAACGACACAAGGCCGTTTAGTGGATTTTTGTGGTCCTTTGGTGGATTTTAGTGGTCCTTTGGTGGATCATGTATTTAGTGACAACTGCAGACTGCAATTTCTCAGGGCAGTTTCAACGGATTTCAACAAAACTTGGATGGGGCACTTAGGGCATGGTCACCCACCAGGGGCATGCTCATTCTCTGTTAGAGCCTTCACCAATAATTCAGGCTCTTATTAAATATTTTTTATGATTTATCCCCTACAGATGGACAAAAAAGGATTAGACCTGCCCCTGGACAAGGTAGGAAGAGAATGAAATGTTAGCTCACTTGCATGGTGGAGAACAATATGAAATATAAAACCCTTTAACTTTAGAAAGAAAAAATGGAAAAAGAGGTGTATTCTAGCAAAGATGAGGATGATAGTGATACTGATAGCGAGGGAACTTTTGTGTTCGAAAAGATTGAGGGGGACAGAACACAAAAGGCCCGCAATGATGAAATTGACGAGAAGATACCCTCAAGCCAGCGACCAAGGGCAGAGTCTCCAGTTAACAGTGATGAGGAGATACCCTCAAGCCAGCGACCAAGGGCAAAGTCCCCAGTTAACAGTGATGAGGAGATACCCTCAGGCCAGCGACCAAGGGCAGAGTCCCCTCATAAAGGGACTAAGAGGACACACAAAACAAAGGTAAGTTCTGTTTTTACAATGGAGATATATAGGAATAAGCTGATATTCTGTTTAACTGCTTATTCCATTTCACTCACTAGACTCACAATTTTTCTAGATTAACAGATAAAGAAGCATGCAAGTAAAAAGCCAAGAAGCCTTGAGCCTTCGCTGAAGGTAAGATATTCAAATTTAAGGTGCAAGTGCAGCTAAAAGTTCTGGGTCATCATCAAAGAAAAATATTTGATATTTATGTTAATTTATTGCTATCCTGTCTCAAAATTTTCATTCTTTCTCATTTGACACAGGACATCAAAAAATAGCTTATCCATCATGACAACAACCCCAAGATTAGATTTTAAACTTTGATATTGTTGTAAATATGTAAATGTGGTCCTTTAGTGGAATTTTTCAAGATATTAAGAAATAAATATATTTCTGTGAAATTTTTGTATGTGTTTTCTGATGTGATTTTAAACATTTTATATTCTAAGAATTTTTTTTGAAAATATTTTTCAACCCTTTAAACACGAATTTTTTACATATCCCAGTGTCTAAAACTCGAAACCGGTAGTGGGCATGTTCAAATGTCAAGGACCATGCCCTCATTATTCCACCAAACTTTGGTTGAAAATGGATGAAATTTTGATGAAATATAAACTGTATAATACAGGTGGTCCATTCGTGGATTTCACTGGTCCTTGTGTGGATTTGGTGGTCTTTCTGTGGATTCTGGTCCTTCAGTGGATTTTTTTTTAAACTCAATATCTTTCCGTAAAATTTTTATATGTATTTTGCGATGTGATTTGCAACATTTTATATTCTCAGAAATTTTTCAGAAAACGTTTTTAACTATGAAAATATGCCGTTTTTAAGTTATCTCTCTGCCAAAAACTCGAAACCAAAAGTGGGCGTAGTCACATGTTAAGGATCACACCCTTATTACCCCACCCAAGTTTCGTTGAAAATAGATGAAATCTGGATGAAATATATTCTATTTATTAAAGGTTGTCCTTTTGTGCATTTGACTTGTCCTTTTGTGGATTCTGGTCTCCTGGTGGATTTTTTAAAATTAAATATATTTCTGTGAAATTTTTATATGTATTTTCTGATGTGATTTGCAACATTTTATATTCTAGGAAATTTTTGAGAAAACGTTTTTAAGTATGAAAAAAAGCCATTTTTTAGATATCTCAGTGGGAAAAACTCGAAACAGGAAGTGGGCGTGGTCACATGTTAAGGACCACGCCCTAATTATCCCACCCAACTTTGGTTGAAAATGGATGAAATCTATATGAAATAGAATCTGTAGAATACAGGTAGTCCTTTTGTGGATTTCACTGGTCCTTTGGTGGATTTGGTGGTCCTTTAGTGGATTCATGTTTTAGTGGATTTTTTCAAATTATATTTCCCTGAAATTTTTATATGTATTTTCTGATGTGATTTGCAACATTTTATATTCTAAGAAATTTTTGAGAAAACGTTTTTAAGTATGAAAAAAAGCCATTTTTAAGGTATCTCAGTGAAAAAAACTCGAAACCGGAAGTGGGCGTGGTCACATGTTAAGGGCCACGCCCTAATTACCGTGCTAAAGTTTCGCGGAATTTGATTGACGTTGAAATATTCTTCCGACTTTTTGATCAAGGTATCTACAAAGGGATCACACCTAAGATTGAAGTTAGGTAAAATTTTAGCAATATTTCAGATGGTCCCTTTGTGGATTTTACTGGTCTATTAGTGGATTTAGTGGTCTTTTAGTGGATTTGATGGTCCTTCAGTGGAATTTTTTTAAAATATTAAGAATTCAATATATTTTTGTTAATTTTTTTTTATGTGTTTTGTTATGTTATTTTAAACATTTTGTATTCTAAGAAATTTTTCTGAAAACGGTTTTAACTATAAAAATATGCGATTTTTTACATATCTCAGTGTGTATAACACGAAACCGGAAGTGGGCGTTGTCAAATGTTTAGGACCACGCCCTAATTATTCCACCCAACTTTGGTTGGAAATGGATAAAATCTTGATGAGATATAATCTGTATAATTCAGGTGGTTCTTTTGTGGAATTGACTGGGCCTTTGGTGGATTTGCTGGTTCTTCAGTGGATTTTTCTGGTCCTTTAGTGGATATGTATTTAGACACATATATCAGTCTTAAAAACTCGAAACCGGAAGTGGAAGGTCACGTGTTTAGGACCACGCCCTAGTTACCCCGCCCGAGTTTGACAGTATTTCGAGTTTTTTAAACTGATATATGTGTTTAAATACATATCCACTAAAGGACCAGAAAAATCCACTAAAGGACGAGCAAATCCACTTAAGGACCAGGAAAATCCACAAAAGGACTAGCAGGATTATAAACATTATATTTCATCAAGATTTCATCCATTTTCAACCAAACTTGGTGGGATAATTAGGGCGTCGGCTTAACATGTGACCATGCCCACTTCCGGTTTGGAGTTTTTCCCTTGATATATGTGAAAAACCGTATATTTTCATAGTTAAAAAATGTTTTAAAAAGCTCGAAACAGGAAGTGGGCGTGGTCACATGTTAAGGACCACGCCCTAATTATCCCACCCAACTTTGGTTAAAATGGATGAAATCTATATGAAATATTAATCTGTACATACAGGTAGTCCTTTTGTGATTTCACTGGTCCTTTGGTGGATTTGGTGGTCCTTGAGTGAGTTTTAGTGGATTTTTTCAAATTAAATATTTTCCGTGAAATTTTTATATGTATTTTCTGATGTGATTTGCAACATTTATATTCTAAGAAATTTTAAAAAAACGTTTTTAAGTATGAAAAAAAGCCATTTTTTAGGTATCTCAGTGGGAAAAACTCGAAACCGGAAGTGGGCGTGGTCACATGTTAAGGACCACGCCCTAATTATCCCACCTAACTTTAGTTGAAAATGGATGAAATTTTGATGAAATATAATCTCTATAATACAGCTGGTCCTTTTGTGGATTTTACTGGTCCTTTTGTGCATTTGCTGGGCCTTTAGTGGATTTTTCTGGTCCTTTGGTGGATATGTGTTTACAGGCATATATCAGTCTAAAAAACTGGAAACAAGAAGTGGGCGTAGTCACGTGTTCAGGGCAACGCCCTGATGACCCCATCCAACTTTGGTTGAGAACGGATAAAATCTTAACAACACATGGTCCTTTAGTGGATTTTTTTGGTCCTTTCGTGGATTTTTTTGGTCCTTTAATGGATATGTGTTTAATTAGACATATCATTCTAACAGGCTCAAAACCGGAAGTGGGTGTTGTCACGTGTTTAAAACCACGCCCTGATTATCCTACGTCAGTTTAGTTAGTCTTTGAGTGGATTTTCAGGGGGGGCGTTTTTTCAACATCTCATGACATTTTTTCTGACCTTGATTCTTGCTTTTCCATTTAAACAAACCTCTTGAAACTTGGCAATAATATTGCCCAAAACATGTTACAAATGCATGCAAAGTTTGGGGCAATTTAGTTAAAATGGGAATATTTTACAGATTTTTTTGTAAAGTGTCATTATTTTAGGTATGACTTTTTAAAAATCTATAAAATATTAGGGGATTAATATTTTTCCACGAACCTCGAACACACGAGAGGTAAAGCCTCTGTGTATCACAGCACAAAGTTTCAAGTCAATCCAATAACTCAAAAACCGTCCACGTAAGGCGATGCGGAAGCTTCGAAAAGGTCGAAATTCACGTTCTTTCTCAACATTTCCCAAAGTTCCTTTTGTTCTTTTCTGCCAAAACTTAGTTGAATTATAACATGTTGACAGGTCAACGAACACACGCATTTTCAACCCTAACCCTGTTATGGGTGGGGTGAGGGGTTTGAAAGTGTTGAAAAATAGAGGAAAATTTAAATTTCCCGCCATTGTTTTAAACCAATCATCTTAAAAATTGGCACAGAAATAGACCACGCCCTCTTACGCCTGCGCACAAAGTTACCGGAAGTTTGGGTAAAACGTGAATATTTTTCAGATTTTTAACTTTGGAGGTCGACAGAAGAAAAAAATTTTTTTTGGTCCCCCCCCCCCCGGGAAATGTTGGTCCCCACCCCCCCCTGAATCTGCTCCCGAAGTTTCGAACGAAAACATGTTCAGGAACGCTTAGGGGATGATTGGGAAAAAATCCACTCAAGGACCAGACTCCTAGTTAGGGTTAGGGTTAGGGTTAGGGTTAGGGTTAGGGTTAGGGTTAGGGTTAGGGTTAGGGTTAGGGTTAGGGTTAGGGTTAGGGTTAGGTTAGGGTTAGGGTTAGGTTAGGGTTAGGGTTAGGGTTAGGGTTAGGGTTAGGTTAGGGTTAGGGTTAGGGTTAGGGGTTTGGGTTAGGGTTAGGGTTAGGGTTAGGGTTAGGGTTAGGGTTAGGGTTAGGGTTAGGGTTAGGGTTAGGGTTAGGGTTAGGGTTAGGGTTAGGGTTAGGGTTAGGGTTAGGGTTAGGGTTAGGGTTAGGGTTAGGGTTAGGGTTAGGGTTAGGGTTAGGGTTAGGGTTAGGGTTAGGGGTTAGGGTGGGTTAGGGTTAGGGTTAGGGTTAGGGTTAGGGTTAGGGTTAGGGTTAGGGTTAGGGTTAGGGTTAGGGTTAGGGTTAGGGTTAGGGTTAGGGTTAGGGTTAGGGTTAGGGTTAGGGTTAGGGTTAGGGTTAGGGTTAGGGTTAGGGTTAGGGTTAGGGTTAGGGTTAGGGTTAGGGTTAGGGTTAGGGTTAGGGTTAGGGTTAGGGTTAGGGTTAGGGTTAGGGTTAGGGTTAGGGTTAGGGTTAGGGTTAGGGTTAGGGTTAGGGTTAGGGTTAGGGTTAGGGTTAGGGTTAGGGTTAGGGGTTAGGGTTAGGGTTAGGGTTAGGGTTAGGGTTAGGGTTAGGGTTAGGGTTAGGGTTAGGGTTAGGGTTAGGGTTAGGGTTAGGGTTAGGGTTAGGGTTAGGGTTAGGGTTAGGGTTAGGGTTAGGGTTAGGGTTAGGGTTAGGGTTAGGGTTAGGGTTAGGGTTAGGGTTAGGGTTAGGGTTAGGGTTAGGGTTAGGGTTAGGGTTAGGGTTAGGGTTAGGTTAGGGTTAGGGTTAGGGTTAGGGTTAGGGTTAGGGTTAGGGTTAGGGTTAGGGTTAGGGTTAGGGTTAGGGTTAGGGTTAGGGTTAGGGTTAGGGTTAGGGTTAGGGTTAGGGTTAGGGTTAGGGTTAGGGTTAGGGTTAGGGTTAGGGTTAGGGTTAGGGTTAGGGTTAGGGTTAGGGTTAGGGTTAGGGTTAGGGTTAGGGTTAGGGTTAGGGTTAGGGTTAGGGTTAGGGTTAGGGTTAGGGTTAGGGTTAGGGTTAGGGTTAGGGTTAGGGTTAGGGTTAGGGTTAGGGTTAGGGTTAGGGTTAGGGTTAGGGTTAGGGTTAGGGTTAGGGTTAGGGTTAGGGTTAGGGTTAGG